TAATTTATAAGAATAAGAAATGATGTTGACTTTTCTGTTAAGGGAATCGTTTAGGCTTGATTAATATTTAGTTATATTTTTTCTTTGAGGCTTAGCTCTCAATTCACATTTGTTGGAGAAATATTGTCATCCTCAAACGGATTGCATGTTTCATGATCGATTATGGCATAAGAAATTTGATATATTACCCCGAAGAATAAAAATCATTTACCTTATGGACACAATAATAAAATTTACAATTTTAATAGAGATTTCCTCATTCAATATTTGGTTGAATGGAGTTTATTTTATTATGGGGTATGGAAGCCCCATAGGGTAAGCCCCTATGATTAATTACATCTAAAGCTTTGGACACTAGAGAATACTTTTGATTAAACTAGTGATTTTTTTTCTTTTGAAGTTCATTCAAATATTGGCTAAGATTTGATTTTAAAATCTATGAAATTTTTGTTTAAAAGAGTTTTAATCTTTAGGAATTTCAAGGAAAAAGGGGGGAATCAACTTGAAATCAGATTTCTTGAATAAGAGATAAAGAAGTGAAGTAGGAACACTTGATTCTGAGAAATCTCAGAGGTGCTTGGGCTATCCTATGTTGGGCTTTACATTTTAGAATCTAATTTTTGTTTAAGTTAACATTTTCATTTAGAATATTAAGGCTTATATTTCAACAACATGAGTTAGATGAAATGTCGGGAAGGTGAAGGCTATGGAAGAAGTCCTAATGGGAGGACCGTGGTTTGTGAACGAACATATAATAGGCATGGAACGCTGGACTCCAGAATTTTCATCCTCTTCTATGAAAGGCCTATCATCTCCAATTTGGATCAGAATGCCGCATTTGCCGCTCCAGTCCTGGGATGAATATAACATCGCCAGAATTGCTTCGAGAGTTGGAACACCGCTGATGCTTGATGGAAACCTCTTTCACTGGGGAAGAAGAGAGTTCACCAGAGTTTGCGTCCGTATCAATCTTGATCAGAAGCTGCCGGTTGGAGTATGGGTGGATAGTATGGGAGGAAGATTTTTCCAAAAACTTGAGTATGAAAGAATATCAAGTCTGTGTTTCGATTGCGGAAAAATCGGACATGAAAAAGGTGAATGTAAGTCACAAAATGATGGAGAATTTATTAGTTCCCATGAAGAAATCCCGGTTAACTCAATGAAGACGAAGACAATGGAAGACAGCTGTAATTATGGCCCATGGATCTTGGTTAATAATGAGAGGAAGAAAGGGAATGGAGCTAGTGTTAAAGAGGCAACAAGGAGAATGGCTGATGGTAACAAGCCCCAGAGGAATACTTGGAAAACTAAGACTAAGCTTGGAAAAATGGAGATCACAGATCAGCAGAACAAAAAGATGTCTGAGCTTTTGAAAAGAAATGATATCAAAGAAATTGAAGAAGGAGAAATTGTTACAGAAAAGGCGAAGGGATTAGATCTGGAATGCTACGAATCTGATGTGATTTTAATTGATCACTCAGTAGGCAATAAAGATGAAATTCCACAGAAGACTTATGAAGAAATAACAGAGCAGGGAATTGTGACAACCAGTAACCCATTCGAGATTTTAGAAGATGAAGTGGCAGAAAATCAGATGAACATTGTGTCTGATGAGATGGAGGAACAATAGGAGAAGAATGTCAACACTAAATTGATCAAGAATGTTAAAAAGGACAATCAAGGCTCTACGTTGAAGGAACAGGGGGTTAGCAGTTGCCTGGTCAATAAAGTATCCAGCAGCAGCAAAACTAAACTCGCCAAAGAAATGAAAATGCTGGGACCCATCAAAGGAAATCACAGAACTAGAAAAGGTGAAGGAGGAGCAGGTAAGGCTGGGGCCTTAAATCCACAGTCATTATAATGTCTTCAATTTTATTTTGGAATAGTAGGGGAGCAAAAAAGAAAGAAGTCTCCCAATACTTAAGAAATATGATTGGTGAGAAAGGAATTTGCTTTATTGGGTTAACAGAAACAAAAATGGAAAAGCTGGATAGTAACGGAATAAGAAAGTTGGTTGGGAATGAATGGGAGTTTTATCATGAAGCAGCGATAGGAACTTTAGGAGGCATTTTGGCTCTATGGAAACACAGAAGTGTTTCTTTCAATGTTATTGTTTCGTCTAGACAATGTATTATTGGCATTATAACTACTCCGAAAGGTATAACGGCCAAAATTTGTATTGTTTACGGTAACAAAGATACAAATGAAAGAAGGAAGCTATGGAATTTAATAGAGGAAAACATGAATGGTGATGAGCCTTGCTTAGTTGGAGGAGATTTTAACTGTTTACTCAGTCAGAATGAGAAGAAAGGAGGAAAGAAATTCTGTTTTTCGCATGGTCCAATGGAAATGAAAGAAGTTATGAATAATAATGACTTCCATGATATCGGTTTCCAAGGACCAAGTTACACATGGTGCAACAACAAAGAAGGCTTAGCAAGGATTTGGGAGAGGCTGGATAGAGTTTGGTTGAATTCTAAAGCTCTGTTGGAATTCCCTAATGCGGTGGTCAAGCATCTACCTAGAATCTCGTCAGATCACTGTCCAGTGCTATTACAGATCGACATTAAGATGCAACATAACAAGAGAGAATTCAAGTTTGAGAACTTATGGTGTTCTTATGATGCAGCAAAAGGAATCATAGCAAAATCTTGGAGGAAGAATGACTTCGGCAGCCCAAATGAGGTTCTACAACGGAAAATTAGAAGGTCCCTAAAAAATCTGTATTTTTGGAGCAAGAATAAGTTGAAAGAACTGAATGTGAAGATTCACGAACTGAAAAATGAAATCGCTCAGCTGCAAGAATGCGAAGCTAGAGATGGATGCCTTAACCAGAATGATTTATTACTTCTTCGCAGCAAGATGATTGAATTCAATACTAATTTAGCTAGAATTTCTACCTGGTGGAGACAGAGATCCAAATGTCAGTGGATGGAAGAAGGAGAGAAAAACACCAGATACTATCATACATACGCAACGGCTAAGAAAAGAGGTAACCGAATTTTGCAGATTAAGAGAGAAGATGGTATTATGGAAACAAACCAGGATGATATTCATAAAATCTTGGAGAATTACTATACAGAAAAATGGGGAAGACGCAACTGCAATTTACAGAATTGGCCTAAATTTAATTCTTCAGATTGTATTCAAGCAGAAAATCTAAACTTTTTGAAAGCTAATTTTACTAGAGAAGAACTGGTGGTTACGTTGAGGAAGATGGATAGTAACAAGTCACCAGGTACCGATGGCGCCAATGCGTGTTTTTTTAAAAATTACTGGAGCATTGTTGAAGAAACTACATGGAATGCAATTGATGACTTTTCAAAAACGGAACAGTGCTGGTGTTAATCCCGAAAGTCCAAAATGCTAATGAATGCTCCAAGTTTAGACCAATTTGTCTCTGTCTAACAGTCTATAAGCTTGCGGCTGGAATGATCCTAAACAGATTTAAAAATATTTTACCAAGAATCATATCAGAATACCAAGGAGCTTTTGTTCCAGGTAGAAGTATCTCGGATAATTACCTGATGGCTCAGGAAATCACGAGTAAAATGAAAACGTCAGTGGCTAAACCGGGATTCTTCCTTGTGATGCTTGACATGAAACAAGCTTATGATAGCATGTGTTGGGAAACTTTGAATCAAGTACTGAAACTTACTGGATTTCCTGAAAGCTTGATGCAACTGATAATGCAATGTGTTTCTAACCCTAAATACTCAATTGTGATAAATGGTAAAAGAACTGACTGGATCCAGGCAAAATGCGACTTTAGACAGGGTTGTCCCCTGTCACCTAGTCTTTTCATTTTATGCTCTGATCTCCTTTCCAAGGCTCTTGTTGGGAGTAATAACAGATTGGGGATGAAATTAGCACTGAATATGGAGAAAGTATCTCATCTGCTGTTTACAGATGATATTCTCGTTGTAGCAGAGGCATCCAGACACAATGCCGAAGCATTGAAGAACATCCTCAGAAGATATTGCGAATGGACAGGACAATCTATTAACTCTCAAAAATCCATGGTTCTATATGGTAAGAGAGTTAAAAGGAAGAGAAGAAGGAAAATTAATAGAATTTTGGGCTATAAGGAAGTCAAGGAACTCAATTACTTGGGCATCAAACTGACCTTGAGAAGATTAAAAACTGAAGACTTCAGCAGTACAATTGAAAAGGCTATGAGCAAAATTAATTCATGGGGAGCTAGATGGTTATCCTTGGCTGGCAGAATAACACTCATAAAATCAGCCTACTCAAACATGATTTCATACCAGGTAGCTCACTCCCTTGTTTCCAAAAGTATTTTGCTTAAATTGGCATAAAGAAAATGGAAATCAGGGAATGCACTATATAGCTTGGTCAAAACTTTGTCTACCTACCAGTTTGGGAGGGTTTGGCATCCAAGGTGCATCGGAAAGGCAGGGACCATTAAGAGCGAGACTAGCATGGATGTATCTATAGAATAATGAATCATTAATATATAAAATCCTCAAAATGAAATATGGGGATAAAATCTGGGAGGAGAGTATGAAGATTGGCGGTTCATCAGCATGGAAAATCATCAAAAAACAACATTAAGTTCCTGAAACCCATTATCAGATGGGAAGTTAACAACGACAAAAGCATTAATGCAGTCAATGACAACTGGATTCTAGACCGCAATCTGAATAGCTGGCCTGCTACGTGCAATATAGTGGAACTCTTAGATAAAAGAGTTTCTTATTTTCTGGAACAAGACGGCAACTGGAACTTAGAGAAATTGGCTGAATGTTTCTCTAAAGATATGATGAATCTGATTATTCAAATGGACAAAGGAGAGAGCTACAGAGAAGATAAAATTGAACTAATTTGCAGCAATTCGGGGAGGACGATATCATCTCTTTGTAATGAAGCTTTTAATATGAATCTGGATAGCAAACTTTGCAGATCCAATTGGCTGAAAAAATTGAAACTCAATTAAAGAACTCATTTGTTTTGGTGGAGATTGTTAAATGACGCTCTACCTACTAACTCCTAGTTAAACTATAGGAAACTTATGAACAATTCTGAATGCTATAGAGGATATAGGATGAGGGAAGATACAGAGCATATAGCCATTAAATGTGAAAAGCTTTCGGAGATCATAGTAAAAATGAGACAGTGGGGTTTTAACGTCCCTTCCTTTCAAAATCTGGATGAATGCATTGAAGAACTCAATAATACAACGGACAAAGGAAATGCAAAAAATTATGCTTTGATCGTTTATTACAATTGGAGATCACGGAATCTGAGCAAACATGGGAATTCAGAACTTCCCACTGCAGTCATAGCAGCTGAAGTTATTTCTCAAGCATCCTTCTATCTTTTTTCACCAACCGAGAAGAACTGGAGCACTAATCAGCATTTGCTGCCTAAAGCTTGGTGTCCCCCTCCTGAAGGTTGGTTAAAATTGAATGTTGATGCGGCTTTACTGGATTCAAACTTGGCGGGAGTAGCTGGGCTGATCAGAGACTGTAAAGGGAGATTGATTTGTGCATACGGAATGAAGATTAATCATTGGGATATTGCTCAGTTGGAAGCTCTAATCCTATACGCGAATACACGACTCAATGCGGACGCCTCGTCCGCTTTTTTAATGGTTGATTTTAAGTAGGTAAGACCATTTGGCCTCATTTGGATGAGGCGTACGCCTCACCCATAATTGCGCAATTGAGGCGCGCCTCACACAGGGTGAGGCGTACGCCTCAATCAGTGTCCAAATTGCGTGCGCCTCGAGGTGCTTTTGGATAGAATTGCGCAGAGGCGCGCTTCTTATTGCGCAATTTTAAACAGAGATCAATATAATATTATCGATATGACATAAAGCCCTCTGTTTGTTAAGATGGATTCAAAATATTCACCCCAGGTTTATAAGGTATCATTGGACGAAGCAACCCATGGTTGGCGACAATGATTTTTATGTTAGTCTGGGTCAACTACTCCTTTGACTAAGTAGACTTGGGACCATGATGATCTGGGGCAACCGAACCGTGGGATCTTGATCGGATCTATCATCATTCCCTTCACAATCTACTTTTAGTGTGCAGTGACATAAATTTTAATTTTTAAATACTTAAACATGATGCTACTATACTCTAGATATTGTGTATTTGTTTGACGACTAGCCTTAATTGAAAGTTCTCTCTAACTATCAGAAGTGGTGATTAACTATAGGGGCTTGCACCTATAGGAAACATGAACTCAAGATCATAAAGTCCTTGTAAAATGAGGGCGAAATTTCTTGATAATGTCTTATTTAAAACCCAATCTGCCTTCTAAATGTAACATGTGCATTTCATCTTTAACAATGGAAATGTGCTAGCATAAGGTGGATGTTCAATGAACAAGCATAGCCGATTTCAATGAGATTGTTTTCCAAGGTTCTAATTGAATAAAACGAAGTTCAAATTGAATAACTGAGTGATATATTATCAAGATGGATTATTACACTCACTTAAAATTTATAAAAGATGTAAGATGTTAATGATAATTATTTGCAAACTTAAACTACATCCTCAACAAAGGATTAGAGTATTAACAAGCTTTAGAGAAAACATTTTCTTTGGACTTAATATGCAATGAAATGAGCAATTCATGTGTTTATTCTCCTATTGTACTCTCAGATTAGCTACGTCGTGTTTATTGACAAGGATTAATTTTAATAGAATAGTAACACCTTGAATTGAAGAAATGCATGAAAGTTCTGTAATGAAGCACTCTTATTATGAAGGTTATTTTTTATTTATTTCGAAAGAAATAAGTTTCATACCTTACTATCAAGGGTAACGCGCACGCCCTCCCTTTGAGGGTTTCCCAGTATGTTGACCCATAATTATCGACTTCAACGTCATCCTTCGTTAAGCTTACGCAGACAGAAACAAGTAATAACATTAAGTGAAGGGTAAACGCGCCTTTGTTAATCCTTTTAGGAAAAACTTCATAATTTAGCCAAAATAAGAAATTCTTTGACCTTGGACTGATTCATAGAAAATTCTATTATGAATTTCATACTAAGTTGATCAAAGACAGCTAATGATCAAGCTAAATGGTTGGACTGCGCTTTCTAACACACTTAATCACTATTTACATAACTAAACCTTACATTTAGGATTTATCTTTGCCCCATACTAGTCTAATATATGAGAAGGAAGAACAGGAATTTCAATTGGCAGCTTCGTGCCCAACTAAACATCAATGCAACTGAGGTGGGTTAAGTGGAAAAGAATGTGGAGGAGCAGAAGCGGAACATTGGGAAAACATCCAAGGGAGGAAATTTAACAATCTCAATCCCAATTTACTATTTTTCTTTGATGAAGATATCGGAGACTGACATACCAACATGCCACAGTGTTGGTACCTCTCAAAATCCCATAGAGTGGAGAAATGATGAAGACATGAGAGTGCATAAAGGATAGGGAGGAAAGGACAAAGAGAAGAAGGGAAAGGGGCATGATGATGCTGGAGGTTGCTAGCAATGACTATGTGCTTTGACAACTCTTCATTATTTGAAGCCTATGCTCCAATGCACTCCTTGATTTTTATTTATTTAGAGGAGGTGATTCACAATGCGATGGCAATGGGCATATCCAGTCTGGGCTATTTTAAATAAAAGTTAAATTTGAAATAAATTTAAATAAATCTTAGGAGATTAAAAAAGGAAATCTTAGAACATGAGAAATTTACTAAATACTAGCACTACTCTTTCAATGATCTAAACAGTTTACAAGTTTCGAAGATAACGATATCTTCATTTAAAAAAAAAAAAAATCCAATTAAAAGAAATGAGAGGAAATTTAATGTGTAACTCCTAAATCTTGTATTTTTATAAAAATAACACCCAATTATTTTTATTTACAATAATGTTTGAGCACAATAAAACTAATTTTCATTCTGAATACTACAACAACAATAACAAGCCTTTATCCCACTATGTGGTTGGCTATCTGAATACTTTTTCTCCATTGTATCCTGTTAAAAGTCAAATTCTCATCCAAATCTAATAAAGAAAGGTAATTTCTAATATTTTCTAACCAAGCCTTTTTAGGTCTACGTATATTTTTCTTAACATAACTCAAATCTAATACATCTAGTTTCCTAACCGGGTCATCGGAAGGCCACTGTTCTATGTGACCAAACCATCTAAGGAAACTCCTCTCTAATCTTATCTTCCACTGGAGCTACTCCAACCTTCTCAAGTTTATGCTCATTTCGCATCCTGTCTCTAAGAGTAAAGCCACTCATCCACCTGAGCATCCTCATTTCTGCAACACTTAATATTATGCTTCTCTTTTATTGGCCAACATTCTGCACCATAAAACAATCTTTCATTCTCAATGAATTTTTAAATTGTTTATGATTCTGGATGAATTTCATACAAATACATGAGTTTATTATTTCATTTTAAATGCCTGAGTGCTAGTTTTGTAATTAAGAAAGATTTCATTTGCATGAACATATATCTCCCTTAAAAATGTAAAATTTTGATATGCAATTGAAAATTTTTAAATATTTTGAGAAACTTAGCTGTAGCTAATGTATTTTAATAATTTTGATAATTGAGTTATTATAATGGCATAGGTGCATTGACTTTAGTTGTTTTCCTATAGTTAAGAATTGGATTCCGAGAAACTTTATATTTTTGGAAATGCCATTAATTAAATCCAAATTTGTCTGTGAACTCTTGTGCTACTACGTTAAACAAGCCAATTTGAAATAGTTTGCTGACGGTAAATTTGGATAACAATAATAGATTTCTTTTCACAATTTTTTGAAAATTGGATTTTGGTGTTTGATATCGGCCTAGTTTACGAAAGCCTTGGGTATTTCATTTTGACCTCATGATTGTTCCCGCAGGATATGCAGTTCTCTATAATTTTGGAATGCTATTATAGTAAGCCATATTTTTAATAAATATTAATGATTTTTAATGCTTATGAAACCACGTTATGAAAAGATAAATCATACTAAGCAACTATAGTTATTATTGCAGTTACACGTGCCCACCATTTGTTATTCACATGTCTATGTTGGACATTTGACCGCTCTTTTATATAAATTCCAGTACTTCAACAATTGATTAAGATAATTTATTCTAACATGCTTGCATAGCAATTTAAAAATTTCATCATATATAATGAGAATTTGATTTTTAATAGGACACAATGGAGAAAAATGATTCATGTAGTTGGCCCGACATATTGAGATAAAGCTTGTTGTTGTGTTGTATCATGTATAATAATATACTATTTGGTTATATTTGTTTGTTTATAATATGTCAAGCCTCATACTAACAGTAATTTTCGTTACTCCTCTCCTATAGAGTCCAATGTCGGGCATTTACTTCAAGATTTATGTAAGTTTTAATATATATAGCGTGAGGCGTAAGCCTCATGCCAATGAGGCGAGGCGGGCCTCAACCAAGTTGAGGTGCAAGCCTCATAAAAATACTCGAGGCTTACGAATTGCGCAAAGGCGGGCCTCAAGGCGAGCCTCATATTGTGCAATTTTAAACCATGATTAAGAATTGGATTGCGAGAAACTTCATATTTTTGGAAATGTCATTAATTAAATCCAAATTAGTCTGTGAACTCTTGTGCTACTACGCTAAACAAGCCAATTTGAAATAGTTTTTTAACGGTAAATTTGGATAACAATAATAGATTTCTTTTCATAATTTTTTGAAAATTGGATTTTGGTGTTTGATATCAGCTTAGTTTACGAAAGCCTTGGGTATTTCATTTTGACCTCATGATTGTTCCGGCAGGATATGCAGTTCTCTATAATTTTGGAATGCTATTATAGTAAGCCATATTTTTAATAAATATTAATGACTTTTCATGCTTATGAAACCACGTTATGAAAGATAAATCATACTAAGCAACTATAGTTATTATTGCAGTTACACGTGCCCACCATTTGTTATGCAAATATTTCTATGTTGGTCATTTGACCGCTCTTTTATATAAATTTCAGTACTTCAACAATTGATTACGATAATTTATTCTAACATGCTTGCATAAAAACTTAAAATTTTCATCACATATAATGAGAATTTGATTTTTAATAGGACACAATGGAGAAAAATGACTTATGTAGTCGACCTCACATATTGAGATAAAGCTTGTTATTGTGTTGTATCATGTATAATAATATACTATTTGGTTAAATTTGTTTGTTTATAATATGTCAAGCCTCATACTAACAGTAATTTTCTTGGTCAACCATTTTAATTATAACAATCTGCCAATCATTTCTCTTTGTTTAATTTTTGTGCAGATGTTTTGCGTGTATTACAGTCTTCTGATGATTCATATGTCTATGATCGGGTTGTATCATCTATATTTGATATGAAGCGATTAGTCGTGAAGGCCCTTCACCTGAACGGTGGTAGCTCAAAGCAGATCAGAGATGACCCATCTTTTTTGCAGTACACAGAGTTGGATACTGAACTTCAAGACAACGCGATTGAAATCACGAAAGAAGTTTTTAGACAGCATGGCGCCAAGAGATTAGAGATATCTCCTATGCGTATACTGGATGGTTATCAGCCTGTCAACAGGTTTCATTCTTATAATTCTAAAAATGCAACTATTTCAGCCATGATTTTGGTAAGTTTTTTTTTCTATTTTTCACATTTGAAATGCTTTTATTTTTTTGCACTAAGATGGAATACTGTCAAGCTTCTTACTTCTGGAGGGGATATGCTTGAGCTTTGTCATGAGCTACGTACACCTTTTGTTGACTGGCTTGTGGCTAACCAGGTATTTAAATTTAGATTTTATTTTTAAAATTCTAATTTTTCATACTCCCTCTAATGGTCAAGCTGATCTAATAGCTTATGAAGTTTTTTTTAATCATGCGTGTATTTCATTTTAACTTGGTTTTAATGATTGTATTATTGTATTCAACCGTATGATATCATTCACTCTGCATGCAGTTATATTATATTTTCTAAACATGATTACTTAATGGTTTTACTTGTTAAAGTGTTTGGCTAATTTGTTTCTTTGTTCTACCCGCTTTAATCATGACATGAATTGTTTAATACATTGCGTTAATACTAGGACTATCCTTAGAAGTGATGCACTGCATGATTTGAATATTATCAGAATTGTGCAAGGGCCACTGCACCGACGCTCGGATATAGTGTGAAGGGTTCCTACATCACGGATTAATGTGGGAAAAATGCTAGTCCATAAAAATAGAATTAGGATAGAAATTTGGAATATAGGTTCTCTTATAGGAAATTTAATGAAATTAATAAATATTATGATTTATAGAAAAACATAAATATTTTATGCATTTAGAAAACTAAATAACTTGGAGAGAAGTTTAAGGAGATTGATAGTTTAGGGTTTAAACTATGATATTCAGGTAGAAGTCGCACTAGAAATGAGGTAGTTTGATCATAGATAAGAGTTTGATGAATAATGTGGTAGAAATTAATGGAATTGGAGATAAAATTATTGTTTTAAAGATTTCTATTGATGCTAAGATTATTAATATCATAAGTGCTTATGCTACTCAGTAAGTTTGAATATGTTTTTAAAATTAAAATTTTGAAATGACTTAAAATAATTAATACAAAAAATGCCTCTTGGAGGAGATTTAAGTAGATATATTGGTAGAGAGGTAAAAAATTTTAAAACATTCATGATGGTTATGAGTTTGGAGCAACTAATGAAGGTAGTGGGATTAAATTAGATTTTTCTCTAGCTTATGATTTTATAATTGCTAACACGTTATTTAAGAAAAGAGATGAGCATCTCATTACTTAATTTCATTTTAATTATTTTCTTATAAGAAAAATAGATCGTTTAGATTACAAAGATTGTAATGTTATTTCAAGTTAAAGTTTATGTACCCAACATTCCTTATTAGTTTTGGCCTTTAAGATGAACGGGTAAAATATGAAAAATAAAGTAAAATATTGTCATAGGATTAGATAGGGGCGTTTAAATAACACTAACAAAAATTATTGTTGAGAATAAGATTCAAGATTTTAAGATTCTGACTGTGCATGAGGAAGCTAATCTTATGTGAGAATAAACAACTAATGATATTAAGAATGTTGCAACGGATGTGCTTGAAATATCAAAAAGAAAAGCTCCTAATAGTAAAAATAATGATGGCGAAATTAAAATGTGCAAGAAAAGATAAAAAATTAGATTTTTTGTTAAAAATTTTGGTTTAGATGTAAAAACTAAAAAAAGAGGAAATATATAAAGATGTCCGTAAGGAGAGTAAGAAAACTATATGTGATTCAAAGAATTTACCATTTAATTATATAATTGAATATATACTAAGGAGGGAGAAAGATGTATTTATAAATTAGCCAAGTAAAAAGATAGGAGAAGGATTTAGTTTAAGTAAAATGCATTAAGGATGAAGATAAAAAAGTACTTTTATATAAAGAGAATATTCAACAAAAGTGGATGAGATATTTTGATAAGTGTTTCAATGAAGATTGCGAGAATACTTTCAATGAAGATTGTGAGACTACAATTGACTTTAGTGACATTAGAACCCTAAATGAAAATAGAAATATTATTTTTATCTACGTATTAGTAAAACCGAAGTTAGATATACTTAAAGAGAATAAAGTGTGGAAAAGCTGTTGGACCTGATGGTATTCTAATAGATGTGTGAAAATGCTTAGGAGATGACGAAATTTCTTAGCATACAAAACTTTTCAGTATTATCTTGAAGACAAAAGATGCTAGATGATTGGAGGAGTGTGTTGATTCCTATTTTTAAGAATAAAGTTGAAGCACTAGAGTGTACGAATTATGGTATAATTAATTTAATGTGTCATGCTTTAAAATTTTGGGAGAGAGTTATTGAGCATAGGTTACAACGTGATACTAATATTTCTCAAAATCTGTTTGGATTCATGTCGGGTAGGTCTATTATAGAAGCTATAAATTTATTGAGAGGTTTGATGGAGAAGAATAGGGTGAATAAGGAGAATTTACATATGATATTTATTGATTTAGAAAAAGCTTATGATAAAGTTCCAAGAGAAGTTTTAGAAAAGACAAGGGTTAATAATGCTTATACTCAAGTTATTAGGGATATGTATGCAAGAGCTGTTACTTGTGTTCAAACACAAGGAGGTTGTACCAAGTATTTTCCTATTTCAATTTGATTACATCAAGGATCAGGTTTAAGCCCATATCTTTTTGTTTTAGTCGTGGATCTTCTTACTAGATATTTGTAGGAGGATGTACCCTTGTGTATGCTTTTTGCTGATGTTATTCTTCTTATTGATAGGACTAGAGAGGGAGTTTAAGGTAAAGTTGAATTACGGGGGTCAACCTTAGAATCTAAGGGTTTCCGTTTAAGTAGATATAAAATCGAGTACATGGAGTGTAATTTTAGTAGTAATAGATCTCATGGGGGTAGTGTGACTTTGGGTGATCAAGTCATTAATAAGAGTACACGTTTTAGCTATCTCAGGTTTATTGTCTAGTGTGATGTTGAAATAGATGGGGATGTTATTAGTAGAATTCAAGTTGGATGGTTGAAGTGGAGGAATACATCGGGCTTCTTGTGTGATAGAAAAGTACTCTTAAAACTTAAGGAAAAATTTTATAAGATGGTGGTGAGACCTGCATTTCTTTATGGCACATAATGTTGGCCATTAAAAGAGCATGCAATTAAGCTAAGTGTTGTTGAGATGAGGATGCTTAGGTGGATGAGTTTCTTTACTCTTAGAGTTAGAATGCGAAATGAGCATATACATGAGAAGGTTGGAGTAGCTCCAGTGGCAGATAGAATTAGAGAGAGTCTCCTTAGATGGTTTGTTCATATAAAATATTGACCTTCTGATGACCTGATTAGGAGAGTATATGTATTAGATTTGGCCTATGTTAAGAGAGATAGACATAGACCTGAAAAGACTTGGTTAGAAAATATTAGAAATAATCGTTTTTTTCTATATTTAAATAAGAATTTGTTTCTTAACAAGACCCAATAGAGAAAAATGACTCATGTAGCTGATCCCATAGTGGGATAAAGGCTTGATATTGTTGTTGTTGTTCATCCTGCTTTACTCAATTGTTTTTCCATTAAAATTTCTAGAGAGAGTGAAGTCAATGCAGATAATTGCATGTTAGATAATCTTGGGTATGCTACATAAGATAATTCTATCAATGTTTTGCACACATGAAACTGACTTTTTCCATGAAAAACGTTCTATATTTGGTTCTGTAGGTGCATTTTTTCATACAATTTGTTCAAATGAAACATGAAAGTGACTCCTCAAAGGTCTTTGCTGATGGTGGAGCACACAGGGGACGCCATAGGAGGGGAACACCCTCTCATTTAGGCTCAGTGGGCCTTTTTGTGAGGAGTTAATTAGTTCAACCCACATATGGGGCTGATTTGGGCCTAAGGTCATCCTAGGCTGATTTAGGTTTTATTTAACTGACTTATGAGCCTATTTGGTAATCCCACTTAAGCTCCATTCAAGTGATTTGATCTTGTATTAATTGTTCAAATTTTCGAGCCAGTCTTAGTGTTGATTGAGCTGATATGAGTCTATTATGTGAAGCAGAGCTAATTCGAAGTGCCTGTTGATGCACCAAAATCCATACATTGCTTTAAGAACTTTGTTGATTAGGTAGGGTCTTATGTTCCCCCTACAATGAAAGTTTTTTTTCTTCGATAATCTAAAATAACCAAAATGTGAACTAATTCAATTTCACTTAGTAAGTATTAGAAATGATCATTTTTTTTGTTAGATGTAAAGGAGAATCTGACTATTAACAAGATACAATGGAGAAAATTGATTTATGTAGCCGACCCCACATAGTGGGATAAAAGCTTAATGTTGTTGTTGTTGTGGTGTTTTTATTCCCTTTTTTAGAGCCAGGGATGCACATTTTATTAAGCTTATAGCTGGTGTTATTAGTCTTGGTTTTTAAGAAGGTTAGGTATTCCTTCTTTATACAGCATGAATGTTTTGAGAAAGAACATTGATATAATTGATTCCAAGTAGTATTAATGATGTTGACGATGAGGTATTGTTTCTTTTTTATATTGAATCTGCAGATCGTAATTGACGATAATTTTTGTGTTCATAGCAAAGTCTCTGTGAGATTTGAAAATGTCAAATAATATTTTACTTGTTTTCCATATATTTGATATGCAGTACTTTCTAATCTATCGTGGTTACTTAATTCTTATGCATGATGTTTTCTAATAAGCAATGTTATATGTAATTATTTGTAGGTGTTTTCTTTCAAACGTTACGAGGTAAACAGGGTATATAGGAGAGCAGTTGGCCATTCTACTCCAAACCGTTTCTATCAGGTTTGCCCTTATTACTATAATTTAATATTTCACTGTGCATGGCATCTTTAAACCAACTAATGCCCTTTGCTAGGGAGACTTTGATATAATTGGAGGTTCTTCACCGTTAATGGAGGCAGAGGCAGTTAAGGTATGATTTTCCAGCATTTCATCTTCAATGTATTTCAGAAATGTGTCAAATATGGGATTATTTCTTAGCCAGTTGTAGTAATTTATAATTATTCTTACTGCTTGGAAAATAAGCGGTATTCATGTCCATAAAATCCATCAGGTGGTAGTGGATATTGCAACTAAATTCTGTCATCCAAGTATGATTGATATTCGTTTGAATCATACCCAAGTTTTGGAAGAAGTTTGGTCTTGGGCAGGAGTCTCAACGGAACTCAGACAAAATGTTGCCGAGGTATGTCTGGAGTACTTCATTTTTACAAAGTGAATTACTATTTTTATAGCCTAACATCTCTCTCTCTCTCCCTCTCTCTCTCTCTCCCTCTGCTATTTCTTCGGATTGAAGCTTCTTTCATTGATTGGATCTTCTCCTCCACACTCAACTAAGCGGAAATCAAATTGGGGGTTTATACGCAGGCAGCTCTTGCAGGTTAAAAGATCTTGAATATGTTGAATTGTTGTTATTTTATTATATCAACTATCAATGAATCAATTTTTTATTAATAAACTACAATATGATAATGATATGTTTGAGTATTTTTCCTTGATAGGGAATTTCATACATCATATAAGATAGGTATGCTTGAGCAATTTTTGCTATTGATAGGGCATTTAATATAGATAAGATTTGTGTACATTTACTAAAAGTCAATAATCCTTAACTTTTATTAAAGCGGAAGCTTATTAGTACTCTGATATGGCACAAGATTCACAAAAGTTCATAGCACAATGGAAGCTAAAAAGATACAAGGACTAATGACTAGGAACAAATATATTAAATAGAACTCTATTTTATGCTTATGTATGTCTTAAATATTATAAGAGTTTGTCTGTTGACCCCTATACATTAGACGACGCGAGAAAAGACTCAAACTGGTAAATAAAGTAATATATGCATTGATGAAACACGTCACTTAAGGGGTCAAATGACCTCCAAATGCCAAATGAATGGTATCGTTGCAATCAGGACACTGAATTCTTCTAGGTCGAGGTCCCTCGTAATTGAATCAGATGATATTGGTCAAAAGAGATGATCAACACCTGAAATTAAAGCGCGAGGCTGATCAAATGAAGTCAGATCAACAAACGGACTTCGTCATTGTGTTTAGAACATTGCAAATACTCAAAAACTGTATTTTATTTGTTCAATTTGGATCATCCTAATGAGTGACATAAATTTCGAAACAACGCGTATTTCGAGGAAATCTGGCTTCGACATCACTCAGATGACGTCCGATCATGAAACCGACTATGCCAACGCGTTTGAAACGTCCTCAACATTCAAAATATACATCTTTTGTGATTAATTGGGATCAATCGTAATGGTGACACGGATCCCAAGGTAATAACACACATATCGAGGAATTTGGCCCATGATGTCACCCAAACGATTTCAGATCGACAAACAGACAGTGTCATTATGTCTGGAATGTCGTCTACATTCAGAATATATATTTTATTTAATGAATTTGGATCGTCTGAAATGGTGGCGAATTTCCATGCAATTCAAATATGATATAAAGGCCTGCGTTACTACAGAAATGAGGCCTCGAAGACACTCGGACGACGTTCGATCGACAAACGGACATCGCCATTGCGTTCAGAACATCGTCTACATTCAGAATATATATTTTATTTAATGATTTTGGATCATCTGAGATGGTGGTGAATTTTTAGGCGATGCAAATATGATATAAAGGCCTGTGTTACCACGGAAACGAGGCCTCGAAGATGCTCGGACGACGTCCGATTGATAAATGGACAGCTCCATTGCGTCCGGAACGTCGTCGACATTCAAGATATACATTTTATTTAATAAATTTGGATCATCCGAGATTGTGGTGAATTTCTAGGCGATGAAAATATGATATAAAAGCTTGCGTTACGACGGAAACGAGGTCTCGAAGACGCCCGAACGACGCCCAATCGACAAACGGACAGTGTCATTGCGTCCGGAACGTCGTTGGCATTAAGAATCTACATTTTATTTGATCAAATTTGATTGTTTGAGGTAGTGTCGTGAATTTCAAAAGCGATTCAAATATATTGTGAAGGCACGCATTTCAAGGGAATTAGGCTTTGTCACCGCCCAAATGACGTCCGATAGACAAACGGACAGCACCATTGTGTCTAGAACGTCGTTGGAATTATGAATATACATTTTATTTGATTAAATTGGATCATTTAATATGGTGTCGTAAATTTTAAAGCGGTTCAAATATGTTGCGAAGGCGCGCATTTTGAGGGGGAATTAGCCTCGATGATGATCAAACGATGTCCGATCACAAAACAGACTGCGTCATTGGGTTCGGAACACCGTCAATATTATGAATACAGTGCCAATTTGTTTGAATGAAGTTTTGCCACGCACTTCGTGGGAATTAAGCCTCGTCGCCGCCCAAACGACGTCCGATCGCAAAACGGACTACACCATCGAGGCTGGAACATTGGTAATACCCTAAATACACTATTAATTTATCCAATTTTGATTATCGGCAAAATTGGCATGTTAAACGAGGTGAATACACACAAATACTGAGGAAGCATGCAAATCAAGATCAGCTGTCATTTTGATTAATCATAATATTGATAATAATATTTTATCATTAAATATTATTATTAATTTGATTGAAATCAAAAGTCAAATTACGGGAAATCAAATCGGATTTAATACAATTAATGCAATACCCCGTATCTGTCGAAAGAAATCCCATAAAACCTGCTGAATCGTGTTGCCAAGTCATTTTCTTTGCGTCAATTCGATGTTCGATCACAGTTAAACCTCCTCGTTAAAACAAACAAAGGGGAGAAGTCGTTCTTTAGAGGGAGGGCAGCTATTTTCAACCCCACAGGCAAGCTTCCTCCTCTGAACTCCTTCATGAGCCCAACCTCCTCCTCCAGCTCTAAAATCCCGTCCTCCCATTCACCGGATTTCCAAAACCTGCAGTCCGTCTCCTTCCAATGCCTTAATCAGCTCTTCATATCCAAGCTACAATCCACTGAAGCCAAACTCTTTCCTTCCATGAGAAAAATATCTCTCTACCCAAACTCCTCTCATTCTTTTCTCAAGCTGCATGGAGCACATGAAACGGGAGCCTTGCCTAAAAATGATCTCATTAGGCGTGGCAAGGATAAGGAGCTTGTTATGGAGTGGCTGAGGAATCCATCAAATGAGCATCGGGTAATGCTTTGTACAGAAACATTTCTCTTCCATCTATAGTGGGCCATGGTGGTATGGGGAAGACCACCTCATGTTAAAATGAACTTCCTGTTCGTTTCTTAAAAAAAAAATATAGCCGCAAATCCCTCACCCCGTCTTCTCTTCAGGATTCCACCAAGCTCTGCTTCAGCCCGTTTCCTGTAATCCCACGCTCAAGCCCAAGCCGAAACCCTCCAGCTTCCTTTCTCGCCTGAAATCCACTCAAATCTAGTCTCCTCTATGCTCATACAGTTGTGAGGTCTCCTATCCCAACTTCCCTCTGTCGTTAAATCTCTCAAGCTGCTGCCCTTCCAGTCAAAAAAATAAAAATAAAAAATAAAAAAAAAATCTTCTTCAACATTGAGCCGAATCAACCTCCTGTTGCAAGCAAACAACTCGCCACTCTCAATCCCACAGCTAGACCACTCCTCTGCCGCCTCTTGCTTACATTAAAACTCTTCACACTAGTGACCTGTAGCTTTTCTCCATCTTACAAGCAAAACTTTACATCTTGTTATACCTCACACTCCAGCAAACTAAGTTCAAACCGTCACTCTTTGCTCTTCCGAACTCCTCTTCCACTGCATGGCTAATTGGGAAAGCAATTGTATATACTTTCACAGAATCTGCTTCTAAAATTAAGGAATGGAAATGGTGACCATATTTGCTGTATCCCAGGAAGAAGAAAAGATGGTTCTCCATTGTTTTGATTCATCTTACAACCAAGTTATCTATGGCCTAGTGGGCGAATTAAGAGGTGGCATTAGGAGAATCTCCCCAAAAGACGATGCTGTCAGCGAGTTCATTAACAGAAGCATTGTAATCTTTTATTATTTTGTATCATTTCTCATTTTCTCTTTATTATTTTCATCTCAAAAAAAAAAGGGAA